GCACCACCCCCACCCCCACAACCTCCCCACCGCCCGATACAAATGCATATCCCTCAACGCCCTACACACGCCCAAAAACAGCAACATCAACCTCTTCTCAGGAAACCTTGCATGATTCACCAGATTCGCATTGATCATGTCCTGCAGGTTGCCGCGGCGGTAGTAGGGCAGCAGGACGTAGACGGTCTTGGTCTGCTCGCCGCCGCCGCGCTCCGTGGCGATGGCGTAGTCGACGCTGTGGATCACCCCGGCGCTATGCGCGAACAGCTTGTACGCCTCCACCTCCTTCATCGCCTGCGCCACCGACTCGGCGCCGAACGGGCACCGGATTTTTTTGAGCGCGAAGAGCTCGGATGTGGAGGTGTCTTGCACGAGGTAGACATAGGAGAAGCCGCCCTGGGGGGGGAGGGTTAGTGGGGGGAAGGTCTAGGTAGGTACTGGGAGATCTGGTTGGGGTGGACTGGGTGGGTGGGTAGGTGGTGGTGGTGGTGGGAGGGGGGTTGGCGCACCTCGCCTAGCAGGCGCAGGATCTTGAAGCTGCGGCTGTTGACCTTGAGCGTGGGCGAGCTGGGGAAGCAGTTGAGGCAGCTCCCAAAGGAGGAAACGAGGTCGAAAAACACTTGCGCCATGGCGGGCTGTTTCGCGGTGCGCTCGAGGTTGGGGGTGTCAATGGTGGGTTGCGCTGTGAAGCGTTCGCATCGATGGTATCGGTTGTTCTCTCTTTTGACAGAGTTCGTCTTTGGTCGTCGTTTGGGGTTCGGGGACAGGTCACTCCTTCGCCAAAGAAACGGCTTGCTCGGCTACCTCTGTGGTTTCGTAGCCGCAGTGTAATTGGAATTGGTAGAAATTGTCAGACAGATGGATTCCTGCTGACAAGCTGTCAGGATGTTTTCCAGATGGATTCCAGGTTGCGCTGGCCAGCATCTCAGCCGCTAAGGTGCTGCGCAACGGAACAGCTGGGCCGGGGTGGGTCCGCTGCCCGGCCGCATGCAGCGCTCCGCCATAGCCGACGGGCGGGTCTTGTTCAGGGTGTTCCCCGCTAAATTTAGCGTTGTTGATAGGCATCGATTGAGCTCCCCGGCAACCAGCGAGGGGTTTAACATAAGGTAGGTAAACAGGGTCGAAGAAACCGAATGCATTGAACGAGAATACACGAGACGAACGGTTATGGAAGTTGGCCTGGCCAGAGATAACGGATGAATGATCCCACCTAGGATTTTGGTTTGCACAATAACTACCTAGTTGCCACATCCGTACAGATCTTTACACTGCTAACGAACAGCCTTGATGCGCCCATGTTTACTTAACACAGAAAACCCAAGACAGGCCGCTCGCTATCCATCATTAAAACCGCAAAGCACACCCGATCTCGAGAAAAAAACAATTCAATTACAAAGCCCTACTTAACACAACAATACCCATAATCCCGGGAAACCCGGACCTCAATGTACCGCTCCCATTGACCTTGCCAACGAATGGAAGCTCTCATCAGCCTCGTAGACTCAAACAAACATAACCCCGTCTCCCATCCATCCATCCATCTAGGCAGGCAGAAAAAAAGCCCACGCCTCTGCCCAAGCCGTCAACGGCAGCACAGCCAACAATCGCTCTAAAATGCATCCTCAAAGGGACAGTCCACGCTGTCGTGCCCGTCGCGCTCGCACAGCGCACACCACTTGCTGGCATCCACCACGCCGCTGTCCTTGCCGGCCACGGGGCCCGACTCCATCGGGTTAGGGACGGTCCTGACGCCGGGCGAGGTGGCAGGCGCGGCCGACGGCGCGGGGGCCGGAGCTGGGACCGGGGCCGACGCAAAGGTCGGGGCGATGGCGGTGGTCGGAGTGGGAACGGGGGAGTTGATGGGCAGGGTAGGCTTGGCCGACTTGATGGGTGATAGCGGGGCGGGCTTAATGTTGGCCGCTTCGTGGTACTCGTTCTCGCTCTCCTCGATAGGCTGGGTGCGGGCGCCGCCGATATCGTTGTTATCGCTGCTGTCGTCCCGCTGTTGTTGGTCCGGCCCGAAGACATTGGTGCACGTCAGGATGTCGTGCCCCGAGGTCTCACAGATCTCGCACCATAGTGTGCTGTTCTCCGTGGCCGTGCTGTAGGTGTCGCTCTCAGGCATAGTGTCAAGCGTGGTACCGCGGTTGTGCTTGAGCGGGGCCAAGCCCAGGTGCTGCTGGGGCTCGGGGCTGCCGATGCTGGGCGGTGCAATGACAGTTCCGCGCGAGTCACGGATCGAGCTGCGGTCGTTGGCGGCGCTCCCGATAGTCATGGCACTCGCACGGTGACTAGCTGGCCCGACGGCCGTCATGACGCTGCCTCTGCGCAGTGACTCCAACTCGCGCTCGAGGTCTTCCTCCCGGGAGGTCTTGCTCTCAACCAAAGCACGAAGCTCGGCGACTTCGCGGTCGAGCTTTTCGCGGGTGAGACGGTCTTCGATGGACTCGCCCTGGTAAGCACGGATAGCAGACTGGCGCTGAGTGGGAGTCCTCTCCGAGTTGTCGTTCGGGACCGAATCTCGGCTCAGCGAGTGAATGATGGCCTTCAGCCCTCTGATTTCGTCCTCTTTTTGTTCCAACTCCTTGGACATGGACCCGCTGTTCGCGGCGCCGTTGGGGCCATTCATAGAGGACTGGGCCTTCTCCCGTTCTCGGCGGAGCTCCGTGCGCGTCCGTTCTACCTCTCCACGAAGGAACTCGACCTCGCCCCGCGCTTCGGCCTCGCCTCTCCTAGCGTCTTCGAGGCCTTCTTCAAGCTCCTGAACGAGTTCTTCCAGCTGTTTCAGCTGCGCCGCGACAGTGTCGACGTCGGCCGTCCTATCTTGGAGCTCTTGAATCTCTTGCATCAGCTCCTCGATCCTCTTCTCGTAGACCCTCTCCGTCTCCGAGCTTGCCATCTCTAGTGTGTCGATCGTGCTACGGAAATCGGCTCTGTGGGCGTCAAACTCGGCTGTGAGCATGGCAATCTTATCGTTCTTCTCCCTCACCAAAGCCCGAAGCTGCCCAGAGTCCTTGTCGTCGATGCTGTTCCGTCGCTGTCCCATATGCGATTCCGAGTTCTCGATTAGCCCTTGAAGCTCTGTCAGACTCGTCTCCATCTCGGCCAGCGTCGCAGCCTGCTCTTTGAGTTGCTGCTCCCGATTTTCCAGCTCTGTTTTGAGCCTCTCTACCTCTTCGTCGTTGCCATGGTTACCAGCACGCGACATGGCCCTCGACGCAGGCCGCACCTTGAGCGAAAAGGACGAGGCCGAACCCATACTACCGTTCGTCTGTGTTCTTTGTATGCCCATTGGTGTCGTGTCATCGTCGGTATAATGCGGATTCGAGGTGGTCCCAAGGACCGAGACACTACGCGGCCCGACACTCCCTTTCCGCCCATGTCCCAGCATCCGTTTGTTGGGATCCCCAGTAGTGCCGCGGACGCTCTGGGCAAACTTGTTGGCTGATATCGGGCTCCCAAACTTGGGCGCCCCGGTTTTCGGTGCTGGCGTGGTGATGGACGGACGGGGACCTGGCGTCATCAGCCTCCTCACAGGCGACTCTGGGCGTGGCAACGACGGGCGCGTCTTCTTTCCCAGTGGGCTCGAGGCACGGCTGGGGCCAACGGACTGGCTGAACTTGGGCACACCGGGGGTCGGCGACGTGAAGTTGAGAGAGTTTTGGTTGGCGACTTTCAAACCGCCGCTTGCTGGTGTGATCGGAAACGAGTTGCCGGTTACGGCAGGTGACTCGTGCTTAACAGCTTTGGATAAGGGGAGGAAAATGCCGGCGCCCGGTTGTACTGTCGTGAAGTAGTAAACGCTGCATGAAGGGGTAACCCGGTCAGTGTCATGGCCAAGCTTTTTGCATGTGTCGCCAGCTCTCAGCTATGCGACGCGGGACGCGGGCAAGCAAGCACCAGGAACCAGGAATCAAACAGCAAACAGTCACTTACCCATCGACATCACCGCTGTTTTTCCCCCTAGGCGCATAATCGGGGTGCAGCTCGACGCCGGCAAAGTTGCCCTTGCGCCCAGCGACGGACCCAATAAACCGGACGGTACCCGTCATGTTCCCCGGGACGTCGACCGTGTCACCGATGGCAACCTCGTCGCCGCCGCCGAAGCGGCCCGGAGTGTGTGGCGGCATGGGGGGGATAGTGTCGCTGGCCAGATCCGAGTTGTATGCGTGGTATGCGTAGCCTTCCGAATCATCAGGGATGGAGGCCAACGAGTTCTGGGTAAGCGCGGCGACCGACCCCTTGCGCGCAAGCGCCGGGGGTAATAAACGCGAGGTTTGTGACGTATAAAGCTGGTTCAGGTTCGGGGTTGACGCAGTCGCTATGCCGCTGCGGCCGGGTCGCCGCGACAAGGTATGCCTGGTCGTGGTGTTGTAGGTTGATGTTGTTGTAGTTGTGGAGGTCATCTTGAGTGGAAGCAGTGGCGGCCACAGCGACCGACTTTCCTTTGTCTTGTTTACACCCCACTGTTGCCCAGTATTTTGGGGACCGGCGCTGATTGACCCGCCTGAAGAGGAACGAAGCGCGGGCACGGACACCCGCCCCAAGTTACACTTGCCCCACCGATGCTCACTGCACAAGCAACAACAGCGGTTGGAGGTACGGTTCAGCAAATGACGATGGAACGTAACAGAGGGGAAGAAACGCTCTCCGCAGAGGGTTGCGGCTCGCTTTTGCTCTCCCTTCGGTTTCAGATCCGCTCTATCCGTCTCGTGGTCACATTTCGGCCGAGAGAAATAACTACAGATCAGGGAAATTAAACCCAAACGATCAACGGATCGGTTCTGGTTACGTACAATTACGAAGTCAGGTACCTCTCTAGGGAGTCTTGGTTCTTGAATTATTTGAATGCATTCACTTTTTCAATTATCCTTATGAACACCTATTCAACCATGTTTACTTTTGCTTTTGCTTTAACTACTTATTCCTTTCTTCAATCATAATCATCTTTGTCTTCCTTCATCCCTATGTTATTTGTATTTATCTTTCTTTGCCTGATTCCTTCGTGTCGGTAGCGGCAGAAGAAAGTTGCCGGCGACGCGATAATGGGATCGGCGGGGTGATTGGTTCCTCTCGGCCCAACAAAAAGGAGAGCAGCGAAGCAAAAGGGGCAAACGAAGGCAAAGCAAGGCAGAGACGCTCCTGCCCGAAACCTATCATGCCCCCAACCATGCCTATGCCAAGCATCATCTCGGAGACTCTGGCCTCTGTATGATATCTTCACTATTCACAGGGCGGCTCCCATCGTTCAGAACCATAGCCTCACGGTGTCGATGCCTCACGCGCTGTTCCTCGGCCGTCGGCGCTTCCTGGAGAGACCGGATCAAAAGTCGTGCCTGCTCATCCTCGCGCAGGTTGCTGATGTTGATGTTGCTGGGAAGTAAAACGCTGAATCGCTCGATCAGCGGGACGTTATCCTCCGGGTCGCTATCGGTAGGGGAGGATGGGGGCAGGAGGCCGGTTCTCTCCAGAGCTTCCCGGCCAGCCTGCGATCCTCGGATGGAGGCGATAATGTCGTTGATACGGTTGCCTCTGCAGCGCATGTACTGCGCAAAGTTCCGCTGGCGCTCCTCCTCCGTGGCTCCCCAGTTCTGCTTGGCCAGCCACTTCTCGACAAATTTGGCCTTGACGAGCTTCTCGGCATCGAAGCGGCTCACCAGCTGGCTGATAAACATCAGGCACAGCTTGTCTGTCATGTCGCGCAAGGTGTACTCATCCGAGTCTTCGTCATCGAGCACTTCTTGCTCCGGATCCAGAGATAACTCTAGACACCTGACCAGGGCAGCATAGGCTTTCCATCTGTGGAGTCGCTCAAGACTTGCTTCGCCGCTGTTAGTCTCACATCAAGAATCGCCAGTCTGCAGAGTCGTCACTTACGAGGATCGGTGATAATGGCAAGCGCCCCCACATTTTTCATGCGTTCATCATAGTCCTTGCGCGTGATGCCCCAGAGCAGCTGGTCGACGGTATCTCGGTCGTTAATCGCCCTATCGCAAACGATTTTGGCTGACGTCTCCCGGATCGATTGGTTGTAGTGACCAAGCAGTGTGTCGAGTGTGCCAAGTTCAGCGCGTCCTCTGTTTCCTGTGTGATGTACTGCGTCTTGGGCTGGGGTGGTTTGATCTCGGCTTCATCGCGCCACTTCTTGAGGAGAACGCGCACGCTGAAAAGCCACCCCAGGGCGTTGATGGCCAGATAGCCAAATAGAATCCGATCATCCCGGATGAGCCTGCCTAACCACCCCGCAGCGCGGAAGTATTTCGCGGCCATCGCGGTGTTGAGCGGTTCCAAACCAGAACCGGAACCAGTGGATACTCTCAGCCGGAGCTGAAGCGCTTGGTGGTTGCTGTTGGGAAACGCAGGGTTATGCGCATCTTGGTACGGGCCGGGTTTTAACGCCACGCCCCTCGGACGAGACGTGAAACTGAATGCCGGAGCTTGGGCACGCTAGAACGTTTGTCCAACAAACTACGCATCGAAAAGGTTACGAATACACATTCCAGATCTGTGGGTTCTTTTCAGTTCTGAGAGGCGTACCTGGAACTTGTAAAGCCAACGGCATCGCAGCAATGGAGGAACCTTGAACCTACCACTCTCTGGGCAAAAAAAAGCCGAACTCCAAGGGAGGTACCGCCGAAACCTTGGACAAGACCAATAAAAGAAAGCCATTCGATAGCTCAATGTCTACTTTTTATTGGACTCGGTTTCTTTTATTTCATTTATTTTTCTCGGTTTTCTTCACCTCTTCCTTTTCTTGGTTTTCTTTTTCCTTTCTTTTCTCTTTTCTTGATTTCTTGTTCCCCTTGCGAGTTCGGCTTTTTTTGGCCAAAGGGAGCCTACCTCCCCACTTTGCATTTACTGCCGGATATCACCGCCAAAATTCCATGCCAGTTCCTTTTGCAGGTGGGGCAGAAACCAAGATAAGATAGCAGTGCATGCCATCCAAAAATCTCAAAATCCAAGCAGGGACAGGAAAGGCTCCCGCTACGACAAACCCGAGCGACCATAAGGCAACGAATTGCGCCACAACATGGCCGGGTCACAATTGAAGAGGCTGAAAGCCTCTCTCAAAGACCAAGGAATTATTGGTCCCCAGCAGTCCAAGAAACAGAAACGCAAGAATGCCGAGGAGCAGAAGGCGAGACCCGACAAGCGCCTACAGCGGGGAGAAGCCCTGGCTAGCATTCGCGAGCAGTTCAACCCCTTTCAGTTCAAGACGAACGCTCGCGGGCCCAAGTTCGAGGTCACCACCAACAAGCCGGCCAATGACAAGGCGACGATGAGCATCAAGGGACGGCCCGGGTTGGCGAAGGCAGTGGGCGAGGAGCGGGTATGTCCAACACGGAATGGGAGGTGGGAGGAGAGAGTTAGAGTGAATCACTAACGATGTATCGTCAGCGGCGGCAAACCCTTCTGGTCGAAATGCAACGGCGCAACAAGGTCGGCGGGCTTATCGATAGGCGTTTCGGCGAGGATGATCCGAATATGTCGCTCGAGGAGAAGATGATGGAAAGATTCACCCGGGAGCAGCAGCGGAACCACAAGAAGAGTTCCATGTTTGATCTCGAAGAGGACGACGAACCAATGGGGGGATTGACCCATATGGGCAGGCCCCTATTCGACGATGATGAAGACCAGGTACCCGTGAAGGATGATTTCGATGAGGAGGACCTAGCGTCGGGGGATGAATCCGACAACTCGCGCGCGGAAAGAAGGATGTTAAAGCGCCAACGCCGAGCGGAAGCCGGGGAGGAGCAGGAGGAGGAGGATGACGACGATCAGCCCGAACGGAAAAAGACGAAAAAGGAGATCTACGAGGAAATTATCTCCAAGTCAAAGCAGCACAGATATGTAGGTCTCATCGTGCTCGCCTGGGAATACCCACCGTACTCACATCCTGCAGGAACGGCAAGCGGCCAAAGACGAAGACAGCGAGCTCAGAGCCGAACTCGATCAGACCATGCCTGAGATCCAAGCACTTCTTTTCCAAAGACAAAAACCGCCGGCGAAGGATGGGCCCTCCATGGTCATTGCCGGGAAGGACAAATCAGCCCTCGATAAGGATTACGATCTCCGGATAAGATTGCTCGCGGCGGATAAACGAGCGCAGCCCGCCGAAAGGACGAAGACGGAGGAGGAAACGGCAGAAGAGGAGTCGAAGCGACTCAAAGAACTCGAAGAGCGGCGGCTCAAACGCATGCGTGGAGAGGTGGTTTCGGATGATGAAGATGACGAGGAGAAGGGCAAGAGAGGGAAAGCCAACGACGAGGATGCTGACAATCCGTTCGACGCCGAGGATGATGATGATGAATATGGCTTGGGTGCGGGAGTCAAATACCGGCCGACTGCCGCTGAACTAGGATTCGACGACGAGGACGACTTTTTAATCGACGACGATCTCGTTGCCAGTGGCTCCGAATTGGAGCTCGAGAGCGATATGGAGGATGAGGGGAGTGATGATGAGGATGCGGGGTCAGAATCTGGATCCGACGACGACGAGTTTGTCAAGGGGATCCTGACAGAAGCGGTTACCAAGGATCCCGTTTTCCAAATATCTAGCAACACTAAGGGAGACGACGAGGACGGCATTCCCTACACATTCCCCTGCCCACAGACCCACGCCGAGATGCTCCAGGCTTTTGATGGTATCGAAGTCTCTAAACTTCCCGTGGCTGTCCAACGAATCCGGGCGCTCTACCACCCCAAGTTGGATAGCAAAAACAAGGAGAGACTGGGCAACTTTTCCCAAGCCCTTGTACAACATGTCGCGTACCTGGGCGATAATTTCGAGCCGCAATGGTTCCCTACGTTGGAGAACCTGAGCCGACACATTCACTCCCTCGCCAAGTCTTTCCCTATCGAAGTGGCCAAGGCATACCGCGCCCACATCCAGGAGATCGAGCAAAATCGTCCTCTGGCCCTCACGGTGGGGGATCTTGTCCTTCTAACTGCGGTTGGTACAACCTTCCCAACATCCGACCACTTCCACCAGGTCGTCACTCCCTCCATGTTAGCTATTGCTCGTTACCTGGGGCAAAAGATCCCTCAGGCGCTCTCAGACTACGCAACTGGAACCTATCTCTCGATCCTTGCGCTCCAGTATCAACAGTTCTCGAAGCGCTACGTGCCAGAGCTGATGAACTTCTGCCTCAACACCCTCTGCTCCCTCGCCCACGAGAAGACGCGAAAAAGCCTAGGTTTCTTCCCCGTCCACGATCCGGCCGCGGGGACCCGGATCAAGGGCGCCAGCAAAACCACAATCCGGCAGCTGAACTGCGGCGACTGCCAGCCCAAGCAGTCCCTCTCCGCCGCCGAAGAAGCATCCCTCAAAGTAGCCCTCATCAGCACCACCACGGCCATCCTCAAAACCGCCGCAGAAACCTGGCACAAACTCCCCGCCTTCCACGAGACCTTCCACCCCGCCCTACTCGTCCTCCAACACCTCACCAGCAAACCCACCGCCACCTACCTCCCCCCCGCCCTCCTCACCAAAATAACCGACACCACCACCACCCTCACCCGCCTCCTCCAACTCGCCCGCCTCTCCCGCCGCCCCCTCGAACTACACCACCACCGGCCACTCGCCATCCGCTCCTACATTCCCAAATTCGAAGACGCCTTCGACCCCAACAAGCACTACGACCCCGACCGCGACCGCGCCGAGCTGGCCAAGCTGCGCGCCGAGCACAAGCGCGAACGGAAAGGGGCTCTGCGCGAGCTGCGCAAGGACGCGGCCTTCATGCAGCGCGAGAACCTGCGCGTCAAGAAGGAGCGCGACGCCGCCTACGAGAAGAAGTACAAGCGGCTCGTGGCCGAGATCCAAGGCGAGGAAGGCAAGGCGGCCAACGAGTATGCGCGGGAGAAGGAGGCGAGGAAGAGGAAGGCTGCGAGGGGGAGGTAGAGTTTTGCGTGTGGTTGGGTCTGTTGGGTGTAGTAGTAGTAGGGTTCGGTGGTTGGTTGGTTTGGTGGTTGGTGTTGTGTTTATGCATAGAGCAGAATTTTTGCAAGGCTTTGGAAACGTGGCACGGGTACAAAGTAGCTTGTTGCAATATCAGAGTCGGCATAGCAAAAAGGTCTCGTAGGCCACTCGCGTCCCTAATTTCAATGACGATATTCAATTTGAGTTTCATAGCTATTCATGACAAACACATCAATCACTCCTGCGTGCCGACTTCCCTACCATTACCACTTCGTCCCAATGATTCATTCATCCGTACAATACACAACATAGCGGACTCCCCGCCCACAATTCACCACTTAACAAACCTCTACGCAAGTTGCAACTTGTAAGTGGCAACCTCAAACGGCCTCAAATCCACCGCGAACTTGCCCCCCTCAAAGACCACCTCCTCCAGCTCGTCCTCCAGCAAGTTGACCTTGGTCACCCGCGTGACATCCCACGTCGTGATTACGGTGCCTCGCGCCCGGCCGCCCAGGCTATCGTACAGCCGCACAATGACACTCCGCCCCTCCTTGACGGGCAGCTCCCCGCGGGACACGTCCTCGTCGTCCTCCCCGCGCTTGACCGTGTCGATAACCAACGCCTTGCTCGAGTCCGAGGTCAGAGACACGGGGGGTTCCGAGAGGGCAACCAGCCCCGCTTCGCGGGACGGGGCAGAGAGGAGTTTAAGTGGGCTGTTGAACTCGGCAGCCCTTCGCACAGTGACGTGCGACAAGGCGCCCTGGTGCGGCAAGATGGCCCAGCGGATGTGGTGGGTGCCCATGTCAGCGTCGGCATCGGGGGCTTTGGAGCTGCGCAGCAACGAAAGGCGCATGACGTTACCGGCCGTGGAAAACCCGTATTTGGTGTCGTTCAGGATGGACACGCCGTAGCCATTCTCTGACAAGTCGGCGAAGCGGTGACAGCAGACTTCGAACTTGGCCATGTCCCAAGAGGTGTTGTAGTGGGTCGGGCGGCGGATGACACCGAACTGCGTCTCGTACGAGGCTTCAGTGTTGCGGATGTCGACAGGGAATTCAACCTTCAAGATCTTCATGGTTTCGTGCCACTCGACGGTGCTGCTAACTTCGACATGGGATTGTTGGCCCGAGATGGCGGCATTGAGCGTGAGAATCGTTTTGATCGACGACTTTTCGCTGATCTTGGTGTGGGTAATGAGACTAACACGGTGCTTCTTCTCCTCGTGGATCTTGGTCTCGCCTGAATGGAGGGGCTTGCGGGTTTCGAGGTGGTAGACCTCAACGTCCCAGGCTTGCCAGTACAAAGGCTTGTCGTCGAAGATGACGTACTGGTTAGCCTTCTGCCCCTTGGGGATGACCTCGCGCTCAGCGAGCCTGTCATACAGCGATGTAATGACGCCTGGCTTCCACCCTGACCCTGAGCTGGTCACTCTCGAGAACAAAGACATCTGTCGAGACCTCCTTGACAGAGACGAGAGAGTCGCCTTGGTTCGTCTGGAGAGCCCGCAGTTTCATCAGCGGGCCATTCCCGCGAGCAAGAGCAGCCTCGGTTTCCGATATATCAACAATTTCCCTGCGAGGCCACGGCAGCGTGTTTAGAGCGAAGCCATCGCGAATCGTCGTGGTCTGGACCTGGGATACACCAAGAACCTTTCCGATATCCTCCAGGACGCTCTCGGCAGTCTTGAAAACCTCGGCATACATCTAAACGCTGTAAGTATGTCTCCTGTTCTCCTGTTTGCTGCCTGTTTGCAACTCACCTCGTCTGACTCTCGGTAGGCCATTGCGATGGAGCTGCCCGGGAGACAATCATGGAACTGGCAAAGCAATACCGGCTCCCACATGGCATCGATCTGCTCCTTTGGATACTTGTATGACTTATCTATGATTGACGCAATGGTGGCCAATAATTCCACCTCTCGAAGCACGACCTCGGACTTGCGGTTGTTACGCTTGTTGTTTGCCTGGGTTGTGTACGTGCCGCGGTGCAGCTCGAAGTACAGCTCGCCGTACCATGTCACGAAGGAGTCGGCCTTGCGTTCAAGCTTGTCGAAGAAGTCGTCGACCGAGTTGCCCAAGTGAACACGAGGCAGGAGGCCGACGTTGTCGCTGAGACCACGGCACCGGCGAAGCTTCTCGAGGTGCTGCCAGGTAGGACCGCCGCCTCCATCGCCCTTGCCGAAGACAAGCAGTGATGTGGCATCCTGGTCTAGGGACTTGTGCTGCGACATGCTTCGCTTGACGTCGCCGAAGTGGGCTTCGGCAGTGTACGTCTCGGAGGGAGGCATGTGGCACACGACCTGGGAACCATCAAGGGCAACCCAGTTGAAGGTGGTATGGGGGAAACGGTTGATATTGTTCCAGCTGAGCTTCTGCGTGAGGAAGCGTGTCATGCCGGCCAAACGGCAAAGCTGGGGCAGCTGGCTCGAGTACCCGAAAGTGTCGGGTAGCCAAAAGGTCTGAGAGCGGCTTCCAAAGTTGCTCTCAAAGAAGCGTTGGCCATACAGGAACTGGCGGACAAGCGACTCACCACTCGGCATGTTAGTGTCGTGCTCGACCCAGCTGCCTCCAATAGGGTGGAAGCGGCCCTCGGCGACCTTCTTCTTGACGCGGTCAAAGACGGAGGGGTACAGCTGCTTGAGCCACTTGTACTGTTGAGCCGAAGAGCAAGCAAAGTTGAGCTCGGGGTACCGGTCAATCAGATCGCACTGGCTGGACCACGACCTGGCAACCTTCCGCTTGGTTTCAGCAAAAGGCCATAACCAGCAGCTGTCGATGTGGCAGTGCCCAATGCCGAAGACGACCGGTTCTTTGCCACTATCGTAAACCTTGGCCGAGTTGACATCGGATCCCAGGTATTCCTCAGCGATGGTGCGGCACGTCTTTAGCGACTCTCTATTACCGAGCTCAAAGGTGTCAATGATTTCGTTACAAGTCTTGAGCGCTTTGTGCTGCTCCCATGAGTCTTCGGGGAACTCCCTTGCAGCATCGCCAATGATCCAGATGTCGATATAGAGTTGGCGAGCATCCGGATCAACGGCCACGATTTCAGCTCGATCAAGGCGATAGCGCTTGTTTGGGTTCGGCGGCTGGTTGGCATCTCCACCGGGTGCGTTTCCAAACATGCCATTGCAGGCCATTTCGATGTAGATGGTGTGGTCCTTTCCATCACGGAACGAGTCTGGCAGGACCCATTCCACGCGCTCACCGCCGCCTGTGAGGCCTTGAAGTGGGTGGCCGTCCTCGTTCCAGACGAGACCTTCATTGTTCGCGTCCCAATGAAGTTCGAGGAGCCTCTTATCCTGGAGTTCTTTGGGGACTCTCAGGACAACTTTGAACCAGTGAGTCGACCATGACGGGCCGAACGACTCTCCCACGGTGGTCTTTTTGAACTCTTGGGACGTGGCGTTCTTGAAAGTAGGCCGGGTCAGGTCCGGGGCGTGCCAGACCGAGAGCTGGACGTGGGGCTCGCCGGAGACGACGGCCTCGTTCATCATGGCGCGAAGGTTCTCGTGCTCATATTGGCCGCTGGAGTAGAATTGGCTGATGCGCTCTTTGTAGATCTTGGATATCATCTGGCCCACGGGCTTTGGGGCACGGAGGGGATAGTCGCTCCGGGGGCCCTTTTGGACCCGTGTCTCGCCACCCATTGTATTGGCGTTACGGGAGCAAACTTGGATGGTTATGGTTACGAGGGATGAAAGTGGAACAATTGAAGAGAACAGCGGTGAGATGAACCAGATGGAGGAAGAGTGTTTCTCAAGAGATAAGCCAAATTGGAAAGGAGCTCTGTCTTCTTAGATGCCGGGAAACCTGCGGCCGAGAAGTTCAGGTCCTCTTTAAGTGGCCTTGCCCTCCAAATTTAAATACAAAAGAAACTCGCTGAGGAAGACGGTGTCTACTTGTAGCGCGGGAAGGAGTGAAACAGTGTAAACGAGGAACGGTAACACAGAGAAGGCAGGTGGTTGGTTGCCGGATGCAGCTGGACCCTCCCGCCGTGGTCACGTCCTGGGGCTGCGACTGCCCTGCCAGGGGTGCAACCAGGTTCCCCGCAATCCCCGGCGGAAGGCGCCCGGCCAATCAGGGCAGCACATTATTGGTGAAGACATGAAAGGTCTCACAACGGACTTTACAATATGGAGGGCATCTGACTTGGTATTTTGGTGGTTAATGTCTTGACAATGTTGCAATTTGGAAACCACGTTGGACTCAATGAAATATAGTGATATTACCAAAAACTTGCTTATCGTCAACCCGGAGTTGTCCAACGGCAGCGGTGGCATGACGACGGTTACTTTCTCTGAACATGTGCCTGTGAGAGATGTTGCTTCAGGTTACACATGAAGTCAGATCGAATGGTCATTAGAATATGAGTAATAGTATTTAATATATTTTTATGTCTGGAGATCGTGTTCTCTTGGATCACTCCCCTGGCTCGTCCACGAGCTCTCCACGAGACTCGTGATTCAAGTAACTAACATTAAGCTGCGAGGGCGCCTTGAACGTCATCCCAACTAAGCGTCTTTGGTGAGAGAGACCGGCTCTCCCAGCCCAGCCCCGTCCCCCTCACCTTTGGGCGTATTCTCCACGGCTTTTTTCTCGTCTGTTCCTACTCCCTCCCCCTCCGCTTCATTATCCTTTTCGTAGTCCTCCTCTTCTTCATACTCCTCGCCGATTTCCTCCTCCTCCCCCTCTTCCTCTTCATCGTCCATAAACTCATCTTCCTCCTCGCTATCGCTGTCACTCTCGCTGTCACTCTCGCTCTCATCAAACGACAGTGCCCCTAATAGCGGTACATTTGTCCCCGCCAAGTGGCTCTTGATGATATTCCCGGTCACCTCAAGGAGGTGAGCGTCCTTATCAACCGGCACGTCCCGATCCATATCAAAATCCACCTCGTCCTTATCCCTCGGCATTTGCCTCCCCAAGCCATCACCACCACCACCACCACTCCTCCCCCCATCCCTCACCGGCCCCGACGCCGCCATAACCCACCTCCTCACCGCCTCTCCCTTCGCCACCCTCTTCGCAAACAACCCCCCACCCGCACCACCCGCACCCCCACCAGCCCCCCCATCCCAAGCAGCTGCAATGGCCGCCCCCCCCACCGCCACTCCCCTCCGCACCCCTAGCCACCAGCCCCCTCTGAAAGCGCCTCCTTCTGCGCCGGCGCCGGCGCAAGAGGCGGTCGCGCACGTACCAGGCGATCATGACGGTGGCGGCCTGCGACACGGCCTGGCGCCGCCGCTGCTGCTCGCTGTCCATCCACGCCTGGCACTGTCGCTGCTGGGCCGCCGCGGCCGCTTCGCTGCGCTGCTGGTAGAAGCTGGCCATGCGCGAGGCCATGGCGAGGTAGCGCGGGTCGATGGCCGATGTTGGTGGCGGTGCTGCTGGTGCTGCTGCTGTTGGTGGGAGTGGTGGTGCTGCTGTTGTTGTTGTTTGTGGTGGTGTTGTTGCTGGGGGTGTGGGTGCGTCGGTGGTGTGGGAGTTGGAGTGGGGGGTGTTGCTGTTGAGGTGATGGTGATTGTGGTGGTGGTTGTGGTGATGGTGATTATGGTTATAGCTGGCCGCACTGGGGAATAAGAAGGGGTTTAACGGCATGGAATCGGCCGCGTTTGGTGTCACTGAGGTTGATGAAGGTTGCGCGAGTTGTGGTGATTTTCTTTCTTGTGGGTGGGTGGAGCTTGTTTGTAGTTGGACCCCCGGGGTGAAAGGATGAAGTGGCTGTGAACGGAGGCGATTCATGAATGTTTGGAATTCGGCTGGAGGTGTGATGGGGACTTGGGCCTTCAAAGGCAGCGGGATCGATGCCGCCATGATTTTTGGGTAGGTAAATTAGGTGTGGCGGGTGTGATAGCGTTTCAGGGGCTCCGGAGTCCGTTCCTCGATGTTTGCCGTCCGTTTGCTTCTCTTGAATATCGCTCCACAAACAACTTGGCGCCGTCAACCGCATGCAATATATCTGGGAGATGCAACAGGTAAAGCACCCGACAAAAATGCCGCGACGACAAGGCCAAAATATAGAAAGAGATCCAAGATATCGGGGGCTGAGTCCGGTGCGGCGGGCCAGAGAGTTCTTTATACCGACATCTCCGAACTCACCTTTCCCGAAAGTCCGGCCACCTCCCTCGCCCAACGCCCCATCTCAGAATGCGACGGGGGCCAACAGCCAACAGCCACCGGTAGATTAATAAGTGGGTTCGTCAGCACCTGGCAATCAGCCTCGGGACCTAATCACGCAGTAACGCAGCACCGAGGAGCCCGACATGTTCCCACTGCCAACAGGCCGTGGCGGGTAGCTGCGGGGCGCATAAGAGCCCGACAAGTCGCCAAAAAGAAAGGTCTGAGACCGGGCGACAGGAGCGGGTTGCGATGGTCTGGTCGAAGCGGGGAGACAGGCCCCTTCGAGCTCGGGTAGCAGACGGCGCGGGTAAAAATGGTCTGAGGAGAGCCTGGAAAACCGTGGTATGATGGCAGGATGGGTCCAAATCGGTCCATGCCGAGGGTTTCCAGCAAATGGCCACCGTCGGCGCGCCTCGGCCGACAACAAGATCGGGCCACCCGAAAACATGCCCAGAAGTTCCAAACTTGCACGATTGGTTCTGCCCACCTGGGCCATCTCAAACAGCTCGCATTTTTCAGAAATTGTGGGATGGGTGCCACTCATCTGCAGCAACCGCCGCTTCATTGCATCTTTCCGCCGATCCAGCGCCTGGATCTGCTTTCCGTGCGTGCTTTGCTACCATCTTCAGCGCTTTTTCAGCCAACTCGCCAAATTCCAAATCTAGAAGCGAGCAGTGATTTGTCTAGGCCCGAAGATCTAGTTTCTGTTCTTCGGTTGGAATTTGGAACTGGACTCGGCGCATCGCCACCTCCGTTCGGAGCAACGCGGTGCCGCCCGTGGCCGTTTTGTTTCTCCGGGGTTTATCGGCGAGAATTTTGGGATATTTGACGATCGGTGTTGCGCTGGCCTTGCGGATTTCAGGTGGTCCGATGGGCTTGGTAATAAGCTAGCCGAAATGGGCAAGGAAAACGCCCAGCCGGGGATTTCAAAGCGTGCTCTTAACAGCGATGCGGGTCCATCAATTGCCAAGCATTTTTGACTTCCATTTCCGGCGTTGGGTTGACCAGCCAAGCCAGCTCTTTGCTTTCTAATTTTTCGAGAAATGATGCCGAGTTTAGTCAACAACTCCACAAGAAATAGTTCCCGACAACACAGAGCAACAACCTAACGCTACCCATCCACCATCTCCCGATGTGGAGTACACTACGAACAGGTCATACTTGATGATTTGCGCGCGCTCAACGTCAACTCCGCGCCTTCGGATCGCGTGCCTCGGCCGATCTCGTTCGCTCCCGCCATGTAGCCCCGCCACCGTCAGGTGCCCAGGTCGACGGAATGTAACCACGGCCTTGGTTCATCGTGGGCCTGGGCCACCTGAAAGCCTGCGAAGGATCCCGCATCTCCAGGTCCGCGGCAAGAAAACACGGACAGTTTTCAAGCTCGACGACTTACCCCAGGGCTTTGTTGCACCGTTGGAGCCCCTCCCGCCTGAGGAAGATGAACCAGCATACCCGACCGTGATGCTACAGGCACGCCGCAATATGCAAAAGTTTGACAGTTGTGTGCTGCTCACACGTGTCGGTGGCTTCTACGAGTTGTACTTTGACCACGCCGACGAGTATGGCCCGCTCCTCAACCTCAAGGTAGCGCAGAAGAAAACAAGTGCCGGCCCAGTTCCCATGGTATTGTTCCGTGCCCGCACCGTGCCATTGTCTTGTTCGTTGGTAGTCTGATGGATTCTGTTCTTGCCAGGCCGGCTTCCCCTTCTTCCAGCTGGATCGCTTCCTTAAGATTCTCGTCCAGGACTGCAACCGCCATGTAGCCATTGCTGAGGAGTTCCCAAATGACCCCTCGGACAAGGTCAAGTCGGGAGGTCTGATGCACACCCGCAAGGTGACCCGTATTGTCACGCCAGGCACCCTCATCGACGAGAACTTCATGGATCCCTATGCAAACAACTATGTCATGGCCATTCACCTGCCCGAGAAGGCCGTATCGGATGATGTGAGCCGCCAAGAGGACCAACATGCCACAGAAACGTCAGAGTCCGCAAATGATGCCACGACTCGCGTAGGCCTGGCATGGTTGGATCTGTCAACAGGCTCTTTCTTCACCCAACCGACAACGTTAGCTGCGCTTAGTTCCGTCCTCTCCCGAGTCTGCCCTCGTGAGGTGGTCCTTGACCAAGCACTCGAATCTGATCAGAACCACTCTATCCTGCCTGTCCTCAAGGAGGAAAGTTACCTCGTAACCTATTCGCCCCGGGGGGCCCTGCGGCAGCTGTCTGATTGGGCGCCCTTGCTAGAATCGGAGATACCAGCTAAGTCAGTCGGCGAGTTAACAGGTTGTGAGGTGGAGGCGGGGAGTATTCTGCTTGAGTTTGTCAAGGGCAGACTGCAGGGACTGAGCATGAAGCTGCAGCCGCCTCTCCGTCACGATAGCACGCATGTCATGAGCATCGACAAGAATAGCATGCGCTTCCCTGGAGATTAAACAGACTATGAGGGACGGCGCCTTGAAGGGAAGCTTGCTGCATGCTATCAGGCGGACCGTAACCACGGGCGGTGCCAGACTTCTCAACGAGTGGCTCAGTATGACTTCCCTACCATGGAAGGGGTTGGTGTGAAAAGTCGCTAACCCGATTACGGCGCCCCTTCGACGTCGCTCAAAGTTATCAAGTCTCGGCAAAACCTAGTTTCACGGTCCATCCACGGACGGAAAAGCTCCGAGATTCCATCACCACCCTC